GTCGAACAGATGCCGCAACGCCTCATCACATGTTCGCGGAACACCGTTTATCCGGTTTTCACGAAGCGCAGGGAATTATATTAATTTACCTCCGCCTTGATCATTACTAGCAGTGCGATGCATACAATTTCCTTGATTCCCCATCGATCATAGTAATTATCGCGTGCGTACACGCGATGGGGGATAAAAGAATCCTTGCCTGCCATGTGATTTTTCATTTATGATATTCTTGTCGAGAATTTAGCGATAAATTACGGCACCATATAATTAAGTTCCATACGTTTACGCAAACGCATCATTACAAATTGAAATTTTAGGAAAGTCATGTATTTCATATTAAAAGTCCCATCGAACTCCATGGATCTTCCAGTAATCATACTTAATATCTTATGCAATTTCAAATATTTTCATTTCACTTTTTGAAACACTGACAAATATTATCATAATTCATAGAATATCTCATTTTCTCTTAACACTAGAACCAATCAAAATGACTGGTTTCCTTTCACAATTAACATCTTAAAAGCATTGAATATTCGAAATGATCTTCAAAACAAATAGCTTAACTTGGATACTATAATGTATCTCTAAAGTGAAAATAATCTATTGTTATAAGTTTTATAGGAACTACGTATTAATTGTATTAAATCCTTGGTGGTTCCAGTGTTAATTCAGGGATTTCATAGAAAAACAGAGTTTTCCAGTATTTCGCAGGAACCGAGTAGCTTAAGTGCCTCGACGACGTATTCACTTTCGATTATTGTCCAACAAACGCCGCATTAGAAATGCTGTTCGCCTGCACTTAATGTGCAACTGTTTAGAGTCTGTGTAAACACGGCACCGGTATGTACACTCGAAGAGGATTACACTGCGACAACGTCGGGCAGCATACTAATCTGCCTGGGACAAAAATACGTGCGTGCATCATCACGTTCTAACATAATTACATCCGGCACAATAAATAATAACAATGTCAGTAACGAGTTCTTTCTTTGAATCCTGCTGTGCGCAATTGTTGCATCCGCTATTCTGTATTT